CACAGGCTGGCTCTTCTCCCTGGAGGCACAGTGGGGGAATCAAACTCCTAACCTCTGCTTCTGCAACCAGATAGCTGAACCATTGAGCTATCCAACTAGCGAAGACCAACTTGGGGGCAGGGGATTAGGAATAATGAATATAAGAGATATGGGGACACGACTAAACGACTAAACACACACATGATAAATGTTGTCTTTTCATTTAAAAAAATGAGTTTTATTGTGTCAGTGACCTGGTGATGTCAGATTTTGAGGGGTTATGACAAATGTTGTCTTTTCACTTTAAAAAATTAGTTTTATTGTGTCAGCCAATCATACATTGCTGAAATAAGATTAGAATGACACACTGCAGAAATATTGGCAGCCATTTAGTGGTGTTTCCCCATTGGTTTTTTCTTTTATCTTTGCCTTTCCCTTCTTCTGCCCTTTTCTGTACATTTGATTATCTCTCTTAGTGTGTATGTTGTCAATGCACATGAGTGAGGGACATATAGGGTGGGTGTGTCAAAGGTTTGCAACAGGCTCTGAAGTATTTAATAGAGAGGATCATTTACGGAGAACGATTGAAGTAGCAAAGCCAAAATTAAAAAGATGTTGGAAAAAAACTGTACATGATTAAAATGGGTTCCAAACAACTTTCTGTTGATCTACTTAAAATGTAAATTAGAAAGAAGTTGATAATATCTAAGTTCTGTAGTCTGTAGTATCAAATAAAACTCTAGTAGTCTTAACTTCACACTTCCGGGTTCTGCTTTATACCTCAAGGACCAACCATCAGAAGCAAACTGTCATCTTGCATCTTGTAGAATTAATGAAAGAGTGGGTTTGAGCATAAAGCACTGACCGAATTTTTATTTTCAGATATGAACGTTTTTCATAGAAAAATCCACGCACGCTCCTCTCCATACACCTTCCTTGTTTCACCAGCTGGCAGAGGAATGGGGTGTCATTTTGCTGGTGCTGTTGTTTAGCAGTTACAAGCCACACATCTTTGTATTTCAGACCACCACAAGATCCATAGGTAGATCGAAATCATACCACTGAACATTACAGCTTAAAAGAAATTTGATGGCTGATATCCTGTCGCATAGTGTAGTAACTTGCAACTAGAGCAACCTCGTTGAATTAGTGGAATTTACAGACTCACCAGATTCCCCACTGATTCAGCTGCGACTTAATACACTAAGCAAGAAGATTTCAGCCACTGTATTAGTCATTATTTCTCAGCAGGCAGGTTTCCATTATTGTAATTGCTGCTTCAGTCACACAGTCTGTTCCGTTGTGCATTACTGTGTATTAAAGTATCATTATTCGTCCAGTAGGAGAGAAATACTCTCCAGCTTCCTCTAGTGATCAATTATAATAGTGTACCTTGCACATATTTAAAAAAATCATCATCATCATCTGCCATCAAGTCAATTTTGACTTACGGCAACCTGTTTCAGCGTTTCCCAGGTAGAATATACTCAGAAATAGTTTATTATTTCCTTCTTCTGGGGGCATCCTTGGACTGTGCAACTTGCCCAGGGCCACATAGGCTAACTCTACTCGAAGGAGGCACAGTTGCAAATCAAACATACAACCTCTGGCTCTGCAGCCAGATATACACTGAGCTATCTAGCCAGCTATTTAGAACAATAAAAGTTCATAAGGCAAAAATAAAGAATACTTCTTTGCCACTTAGGATTGATAAGTGCCATGAAAACAAATAAATTTCTACTTAAATGCTTTTCAAAGTAATTTTGAAATTAGCTGCTTATTACTCGTTACATATAAATAATTAAGCTGTTCATTTTGTGCCTAAAAAGTAATTTTAGTAACATAATTACAGTAGTTATCCTAAAGTACCTAGTTAAAGGTACCTGTTACTATATTGCATGGAAGTAATTACTTCCAAACTTTGTTCCAGATCATAATATGCATAATGTTACAGACTTCTGATGGTGGTGAGTGTTCTGTTAGATTCAGTATTATGTGGGTTATTGTTATTTTTCTATGTTAATAAGAGCGCTGAACACCTTTGGAGAAGTATCTGCTTTTTTTTTCTTTAAATCCATGGGAAATTATTTAGATTCCTTGAGTTTATTTATTTTATTTTATTTAACTTATATGCCACCCACACGACCCAAAGGTCTCTGGTTAACCTGGTCCCTAGCCTCCTGCATTTCCTAATTAAATGGGGCAGGGGAGCTTTTGTGTTCCTCCTAAAAATCGGGGGGGGGGAGGCTAAAAGGGAAGAAATCCAAGATGGAGACACAGCAGGCAGGCAAGCAGGCAGCAGTGCAAGATGGAGAGCACTAGGAACTCAGCACACAGCAGTTCCACAAGGAGTGACTGAAGCAAAGGACACTCCTCATCGGGGTTCTGCATCCTAGCACAGGTTCAGAATTCCTGCTCCTTCCATACAATCTGATTGGCTGCTGACAGCCCCTTGTGACAATATCAGGTTTTTAAAAAATTCTCAGGTGATTTCACAGAAAAGGGGTGAATTTTTTTTTAAAAAAGCCACCGAAAGGTTAAATGAAAGAGGGAGCACAAAAGAAATACAAAAGTTTTGTAAACTCTTCCCTCCCGCCTCCATAAACACAAATTGTTTATGTTTTACAGGCTGTCTTTTGACAGTCACAAATAACTTGTGCTTCCTGGAACTTGGCAGGGGAATGAAATCCTGAATTTGCAGAAGGCCAACATTGCCCAAATTGGTTTAGTGGAAGATAAATCAAGCTAACAAGGTGAATGTTTTGCCTTGGAAAAGCATTTATTCATTTTGTTTTTTTAGCATGCCGTATATACATCCCTGAATGTATGGGATACAAAGACCACGTTTCTGGGAGCTGGGGGGCAAATGAGAATAAAACTCATCATGTGAATATTTATGGTGCAACAAAGCATGAATGCAAAGCAATTTCTTCAGCAAGAGACGGGAGACAATTATTTCTTGTAGCAATAGAACCACATATAATCCCTTAGTTAAACATTGGGAAGCACAGTTGGATAAGTTAATGAACTCCCAAGTTCTCCTGCCTTTGGCTTTCAATCTTTCTGATTGTGATATGTGTCAGACAGGATGCCTAGAACTATAGGCATTTTTCTCCCCCAGTAGAAAACATTTATACTAGGGGAGTAGATAGCCGCCTTGGGTCCTTCTAAGGAGAAAGGTGGGGTAAAAATATTTTAAATAAATAAATGCATTTGTAATTTGGATTTAGATTCACTCTGCTGCAGATTGTCCCTCCTTTCTCCAGTATATGAAATGTCCTACGAGTGACAGCAAATATTGCAGTCCTGCAGCCAATGGGTAGTTTCTTCTCTGACTTCACTCTGACCTCATAAAATCCTTAGGTTTTCTGGCCCGCTCTCCCCCTAGGCACTGGCCAATGGATATTGTGGAGTTGAGGGAAATGCAGAAAGGGGCAACTACCGTATTTTTTGCACCATAAGACGCACCTTTCCATAAGATGCACCAATTTTTTAGGAGAAGAAAACAGGAAAATATAATCTGTTTTCTTCGCTCCATAAGACGCACAGACTTTCCACCCCTCTGTTTTGTGGGGGAAAAGTGCGTCTTATGGTGCGAAAAATACGGTAAATGACTTCAACATCAGTGAAAGGCTACAAATTTTAGGCTATTTGGATTAGGAAAAGAGACAATTAAAGAGAGACATGGTGTTGCAATATGCTGTCAGGTTGCTTCCCCTTGAATTAGTGACGTGCAGAAGTTGCTGTCATTAACAGAACCTGCTTAGATCTTGCAAATGTGTGGTCATGGCTTCTTTTATCAAGTCGATTCATCTCACATTCTTTCTTTTCCTACTTCCTCTACTTTCCCTAGTAATACTGTCTTTTCTCATGAGTATTTTGCTTCCTAAAGTGTGCCCAAACTATGATAGCATCAGTTTAGTCAGATGGCTACCTAACTAAAGTCCATTCTGGTTTATGGTGACCTTTTCCAGGGTTTTTCATGTAGAGATTACTCAGAAGTGGTTTCCCATTCCCCTCTTCTAGAGGCAACCTTGGGAATGTGCAGCTGGCCCAAGGTCACCCAGGTTGGCTCTTCTCTCTGGAGGCACAAGTGGAGAGTCAAACGCCCAACTTCTGGCTCTACAACTAGAGGCCGAAAGCACTAAGCTATTGAGCCAAGATATGATAAAGACATATAAAATTAAGCATGCTGTTTAGGGAAAGTCAACGGGAGTCTCTTATCATGCAGGAACCCTACGTCATCCACTGAAGCCAAATGGAAAAAGATTTAGGATAGATAAGTGGAAGCATTTTTTTCGGACAGTGCAGGTATACTTAAATTGTGGCATTTGGTGCCAGATGATGTAACTTTAGAAGAGGCCCAGGTAACGTCACACAGGCGAAAGCTGTGGGTGGCTACCAGTCGTGATGGATGTATGGAGACAATATACCTGCTACAGGACACCACAAGCAGGAGAATCGTATGATGGCCCACCTGTGATAACTGATTAGAAAACAAAAGGCTAGACAATATAGGCCTTGGTCTGATCCATCATGGTTCTTTTTATGTTCTCCAGGTCTGAAATTTTGGTTTCCTCTCATACCAGGTTTTATTCTTCTTTTCCCTCATAGAATACAAGGTTCACGTATAAAGCCAAGTCTCTTGACAGCTTGGAAGTTAGTGTGTTTGTGAACATTCCGGTACATCATGCTGCAGGAGCTCAACCAACGACAGGGAAATCTGCAACTCAGAAGAAACATACATTTAAAAAAAAACAAAACATATTTATATGAAAATATGGTGCCATGCCCAAGGAATAAAAGTCCTCTTGCTTGTTCTTTAGAATGGCTATAAAACCATTTTTTCCATTTAGCTCTATGGTATAATTGTCAGTCCTGGGAGCTGGTTAGCCGGTTCAAATTTTTGTACCCTACTTTGAAGAGGCTTGGGCCCCTATGTTGCTGATCCGGGTTTCTGTGGTTTAACTCTTCTTTTTTCATTTTTTCTTTTCGCCTCCTTCCCCCTTCCTGTGCTGCAGCAAACTCTGGAGATGAACCTCACCAACCTGGTTAAGCGCAACAGCGAGCTAGAAAACCAGATGGCCAAACTGATACAGATCTGCCAGCAAGTGGAGGTATGTCTTGGCAGTGCCGAGAGCATGTTGGTGGGGTGGGACCAAACTGATACAGATCTGCCAGCAAGTGGAGGTATGTCTTGGCAGTGGTGAGAGCATGTTGGTGATGGGGTGGGGTGTTGTTGCTGCGGGACAGATGGAAGCAGAAGGAAATTTCACCGTAGACCAGTTACCAAGCTCCGCAGTGCAATGTGGGGCCTAGAAGCATCCTCCTTCCAAGGTGAAGCTGTGTTTTCCGCTCATTATAAAACACATGCTTCAGCATTCTGGAACTGCACTTCTCTAAGGCTGGAGTGGAGATACTGTGTAGAAACTGCACATTCCAATGTTTTTTAGGGGCAAAGTCCCTGCCTATAGAAAAGTAATACATAAAAGAGTGCTGAGCTTCCATCTTTGCATATTCTCCCAGACGTGTTCGTTTTCTTCAAAAGGTTCACGTGGAGGAGGATTTGGATGTATCCGGAGCAGGGAACATCTGGCCCTCCAGATATTTTGGACTATGACTCTCATCATCCTTTGCCATTGGCCCTGCTGGCTGGAGCTTCTGGGAGTAGAATTCCAGAACATCTAGAGGACCATGAGTTCCACACCGCTGAAATGAATGGTTACGACATCTGCCTTTCGAAAGGACCACTATCTGCTGGCCAGGATTTCTGGGAGTTGGGGACCACTGCTGTAGAGGACCATGAGTTCCACACTGCTGAAATGAATGGTTACAACATCTGCCTTTTGAAAGGACCACTCAGAATCTCCTGCTCATGTTGATCTGACGATCTCAACATTCTCACTGTGATGAGATGTTAGGCGATATGAGCCAGCCCAGTCATGGCTTGAAATGCAAAGAATAAGAAGCATGTCATTCTGGTTTTCTTTTTTTTAAAGGTGGTTGTCCTTTAGGACAACCTGAGCCAGCCCAGTCATGGCTTGAAATGCAAAGAAGAAGAAGCATGTCATTCTGGTTTTTTTTTTTAAGGTGGTTGTCCTTTAGGACAACCGGGATCTGCAAGCGGGATCTGAAGGCCTTAGGAATAGACCTCAACAGATGGGAAACTCTGACATCTGAGCGTTCAGCCTGGAGGCAGGCAGTGCATCATGGCCTCTCCCAATTTGAAGAGACCCTTGTCCAGCAGACCAAGGCAAAGAGGCAGTCACGAAAGCAGCAAAACCAGGGAGCTGGACAGGGGACAGATTGGATTTGTCTCCAGGGTGGAAGAGATTGTCACTCTCGAATTGGCCTCTTCGGCCACACTAGACGCTGTTCCAAGTCCTCCATACAGAGCATATCACCATAGTCTTTCGAGACTGAAGGATGCCTAATGAATCCTTTAGGAACTTTTTTTTGATTATACATATGTTTCATGTTTTCGCAGGACAGTATAGACAGTTCTTTCCACCCCAACTGCATGGAAACACCTGGCTTGTTATCCTCTCCATAACCTTCTGGGATGGGTTAGGCTCAAAGACAGGGATTGTATCTAAGACCACCCACCGAGCTTTATGGCTGAGCAGGGCTTTGAACCTGGATCGGTTTAGCGATCTTTTTATTAAATGTCTCCAGGAAGGAGGATCAAAACCAGTCCCTCCACTCTTTTTTTAATCAGAAGCACCTGAATTTACCAGGTTGTTGCAATCGTAGAAGAGGGAAGGAGAAATATCTTCTTCAATAGTAATAATGGTCATAATTCACACAGTACTCAGTCACGATCTATGCTTGCATTCTAGTTGGCTGCCGGGGTAAATTTAGAGGTGCAGGTGTTCACGATGATACTTCCCATAGCAGGTTCTGCCACGTGGATCATCCAGAAATTGGGTCATCCAGAATTGCAGGATGGCAACAAATGGGAAGCAGATCTTTTCTAAGTTAATGGCTCTTAACTGCACGTTCAGAAACAAGTGCCTTGCAAATAATTTGCATTAGAACAGGGATGGATTGCCAGCAGTATTCTTCTCCTGCTGGTTGTGGGGAATCAATCGAGGGAATAGGAAGGTCTGAGTAGGGTGGGTGACAATGTCATAGTCTTGGCTGCTCAGGAAGTCCCAGGGCTTCAACCCTAAGAGCCCTGACTCTACTGTACCACAGGCTGACCGCTCTCTAAAACTGTCCACTCGCTAAACCCAAGAGACGTCGGCACCCGGGAAAGACAGGCAAGGAAGACTGGGAGAACCTGCATGGCCAGTATCACAGGCTCACCTGCCTCAGTTGACCCAGCCACTGCTACCAGTTAAGGAACGGGATCGCACTCCTCCCTTCCCAAACCCCCTCTCAGTCCCGTAACAGCGTGGCCATTTCCCATACTGTATTTACTGATGAATCTACCGTATTTTTCACTCCATAAGACGCACCTTTCCATAAGACGCACCCATTTTTAGGAGAAGAAAACAGGAGAATATAATCTGTTTTCTTCGCTCCATAAGACGCATAGACTTTCCACCCTCCTGTTTTGTGGGAAAAAAGTGTGTCTTATGGTGCGAAAAATATGGTATATATTTAAAATGTTTTCTCTCCTGCTCTTCAGCTGGAAGCACCGTCAGAGTGGCTTACCTGTTAATAAAAAGTCAGGCAAGACAGTCCCTGATCTCTGGCTTATGTTTGGAAAAGGCATGGCATGCAAGGAAGTAGGGGGGAGGAGGGAAAAGGAAAACAAGCAACGTTGGGCACAGGCTTTCAGTTTTAGATTCCAACACACCTGAGGCTGAGTTGATGGTTCAGTGGCGCATGGTTCTCCCGGGGTGGAGATTTCTCCCTCTGTATGTGCTTCAGTCCTTTGGGAGAAATGGAATCCCATCAGGGCCTACTCTGAGGTTACCAGGTGTGGCAACGCAGCCTTCAGCCCTCGCCCCCTCCCCATTTAGTTCAGTCTTTCCCTCTCCCAAATCCTCTCTCTTTTTTGGCTCACCCCCTACTGTCTTTCAATTATTCATCTGCAGCCAGACTATTTTGTGTAGCGTGTAGCATCATTTTAGTGCTTATATAAATAATGAACTGTTTCTTTTGAAGTTTTCTTGTCTTGCACTTAGACCAAATGGGTTCTTAAGACACCTCACACGTTGTCGCTGAATGCAGATGTTTGCAAACCCTGCAGCCTTCCAAATGCACAGGATTTTCAGGCCCCGTCATTTCCAACCAGGATGGGCCTCGACAGCCGTCGTCTGCCGGACCTCAAAATCCCTGAGCTGGGGGAAGAGTGGCTTTAAAGACATAATTTAAAAAAAAACCAATGCTAACATCATCCCAAAATTTAGGAAAAGCCTGTAAAGTAGAGCACCAGCAGAGAGAATGAACAAACAAGAGCAAGAAAAACAAATGAATTCAGCTGAACACTGCAGAGTGCATAGAAGAATAGAAATGTTTTTAATCAGACGCTGGAATACTGGCAGCGTGAGTGTCTGATAGGCAGATAGGCAGTGGGGGGTCCTGTTTTATTTCTGTTGTGTTTAAAGATTTTCTTTCTTTTGCTTTCCTGTGTTGTTGTTTTTTTTCTTTGAGCCAGCTTTAATGTTTTTCTGTATTATTTGCAAGCCACGACAAAAGCCCATTTTGGTGTGCCCGTGGAAGGATGGTTTTGTTGTCGTTATGCGCTGTCAGGCTGCTTCCCACGTATGGCAGTCCTAAAAGGATTTTTTTTTGACATTTAAAGAGTCATTTATGATGGCTACCACTACCCTACCACCCTCCAGAATGGGGCTTTGAACCCTAATTGCCTGAGTCCAGTTACCACACTGGCTCTCCTAAAGGCCTACAGATAAAGAATTAATCATAAAAATAAATAGTGCTCTTTTCCTTTCTCTTTATACCACCTTCCTATCCATGGCTGTCCCGCTTCTCTGTCTGGATTCTATTTCAGAAAAATCTCAAAAAAATTAATAGATATTTCATGTTCCCCTCAGTCAGTTTCAGCTCTTTTCTTTTTTAAAAACATTTTTCATGTTCCCCTCAGTCAGTTTCAGCTCTTTTTTTAAACATGTTTTATTATATAAAATCCATCCATGTTGATTTAACATCGTGCCACCTGAGTACAGCTTATATTCATTTGTTAAAACAACTACCATACACATTACACTCCTAATCTATACAACATCCTTCTAACCATTGATAGAACAAGTCCCATGTTTGATAATATTTTGTATCTTCTTTTCCTTTGATTTTCAGTGCTAGTCTATCCATTTCAGCGCAGTCCAGTATCTTTTTAATTATTTCTTGATTTGTAGGTGTTCCTTCCTTTTTCCAGTACTGTGCATATATAATCCTCGCGGCTGTTAAAATATGCAGTATTAAATATACATTTTGTTTATCATCACTTTCTAGTATTATACCTAACAGAAAGAGCTCTGGCCTAAAGTCTACATGCTTTTTAATTATTTTAACAAGCCATGTATGTATTTTGCTCCAAAAACCTTTTGCTTTATCACAAGTCCACCAGAGGTGATAATAGGTTCCAGATTTTTATGACACTTCCAACATTTACTTGACCTATTAGAATACATCTTAGACAATCTGTCAGAAGATAAATGCCGTCTATAAAACATTTTATATAAATTCTCTTTATAGGATGTTGCCATTGTCATCTTATAGTTTTTACACCACAGCTCTTGCCAGTTTTCAAAGTCAATATTGTATCCAAAATTTTGGGCCCATTGAACCATCGTTTCTTTGACCTGTTCGTCCTCCATTTTCCAGCTTAGAAGGAATTTATATACAGTGGTGCCTCACTTAGTGATGTTAATCCGTACAGCAAAAATCGCTGCTAAGCGATTTCGTCGGTAAGTGATTTTAAAAAGCCCATAGAAACGCATTGAAATCCCTTCAATGCGTTCTTATGGGCTCCAAAACTCACCTTAAGCAAAAATCCTCCATTGCGGCAGCCATTTTCGATGCCTCTAAAGCGAGGCAAAACATAGGGCGGCCATTTTGGAACCGCCGATCAGCTGTGCAAAAAATGGGGGCTTTGCAATGATCACGGGTCCCCACGATCATTGCAAAGCACCGCCAATCAGCTGGC